TGCCCCCACATGGTTGAACACAACTTGAGCCATAATTTGACACTGATGTTGTTAAGCCTTTAATCAAACGGTGACCATGGCTCTGATACCACTTGAAAGGTCCTAATATGGCTAGAGGGGGTGAATAGCCTATTTAAAAATCTACAAATCAACTAGAGCAATTTGATTAGTATGACAAATAGCGAAATGCAAACTTGCTCTAGCTCTATAAGGGTTGCAAGCCACCTATTCAATAATTCTAGTTGCAATGATTCCTAGGCACACAACTTGCAAAGTTACTACTCACTAAGAGCTCTCAATCTTGCTACTCTAAAGAGCTCCACTAGATGAACTTAAAATAACAAAGCAAGCTCTCAATTCTAATTACACTAAAGAGCTTTCCACAACTAGTTTGCAAGAATATAAATGAGTGAGTATGGTGATTATACCGCCGTGTAGAGGAGCGAACCAATCACAAGGTGAATATTAAATCAATCACCGGGAGAATACCAAATGGCAAGAGACAACCAATTTTCTCCCGAGGTTCACGTGCTTGCCAACACGCTACGTCCCTGTTGTGTTGACCAACACTTGGTGGTTCGGCGGCTAAGAGGTGGGTGTTGCACAAACCTCGTCCACACAATTTGGACACCGCAAGAACCTACCCACAAGTGAGGTAACTCAATGACACGAGCAATCTACTAGAGTTATGTTTCGGCGCTCCGCCGGGGAAGGTACAAATCCCCTCACAATCACCGGAGATGGCCACGAACAATCACCAACTCATGCCAATCCTCCTCCGCTGCACCAAGCCGTCTAGGTGGTGGCAACCACCAAGAGCAACAAGCGAATCCCACAGCAAAACACGAACACCAAGTGCCTCTAGATGCAATCACTCAAGCAATGTACTTGGATTCTCTCCCAATCTCACAATGATGATGAATCAATGATGGAGATGAGTGGGAGGGCTTTGGCTAAGCTCACAAGGTTGTTATGTCAATGCAAATGGCCAAGAGAATGAGCTTGAGCTGGCCATGGGGCTTAAATAGAAGCCCCCATGAAATAGAGCCGTTGTACCCCTTCGCTGGGCACAACGCGGGGTGACCGGACGCTCCGATCATATTAACAGGACGCAGGACCCCAACGTCCGGTCCTCAGATCTTTACCAGGTGTCCCCTGCTTCAAACGTTGATTGCCCGATCTCAACGGTCAAGTGATGACCGGACGCTGGACCCCAGCGTCCGGTTGTTTCCAGTAAGGTTCCAAACGTGAGATTTCACGACTGGACGCGTCCGGTCATGCCCGACCGAACTCACCCGGCATCCGGTCACTCAATGTCTCCTATGTGCATCCCATGCCAGCATACGTCAGCACTGACCGGACTCAGACCCTGAGCGTCCGGTCAGTTTTCGCGCCAGCGTCCGGTCACAAGACCGAGATCGCGTGCTCACTGCTGTCATTGACCGGACGCTGAACCCAGCGTCCGGTCACTGCATGACCAGCATCCGGTCACTCTTTGAAATCGTGTCTTCTCTGTTTATGGCACCGGTGGCACCGTCGAACTGTCCGCACTCTACGGGCGGACACTCCGTCGGTGAGGTTTCTATCCCTTGCTCAAATATGCCAACCACTAAGTGTATTACCTTGTGCACATGTGTTAGCATGTTTTCACAAAATGTTTTCAAGGGTGTTAGCACTCCACTAGATCCTAAATGCATATGCAATGAGTTAGAGCATCTAGTGACACTTTGATAACCGTATTTCAATACGAGTTTCACCCCCTCTTAATAGTACGGCTATCGATCCTAAATGTGATCACACTCACTAAGTGTTTCGATCACTAAAACAAAATAGCTCCTACTATTTATACCTTTGCCTTGAGCCTTTTATTTTTCTCTTTCTTCTTTTCCAAGTTCAAGCATTTGATCATCACCATGGCATCACCGTCATCATGTTATGATCTTCATTTGTTTCACCACTTGGAATGTGCTACCTATCTCATGATCACTTTAATAAACTAGGTTAGCACTTAGGGTTTCATCAATTCACCAAAACCAAACTAGAGCTTTCAGAGGGTGGCGCGGCTCGTCGGAGGAGGGAGGGGGCTCCGGGCGCAGCGGCGGGGATGGCCGGCCGCAGTGGCGGGGACAGCCGGTGGCCTTCTCCTCAGGTGGCGCGGCCACGCGTACGCGGAGGCGGTGGCCGCGGGCTAGGGGAGGACGCGGTGGGCTGGAGGAGAGGAGGGAGATGGGTGGTGGGGCCCATAGGGGCAAAATCGTCTTTTCACAGCGCATTTAACGGTTCTCGGATGGAAAATCCAACGGAGTGTCATATAAGGAATGAAAGTTGAACTCAGTGTCAAATAGGGAACGGAATTTTTTTGAGGGCCAAGAAAGGAACGGGTTATTTGTCTGGTGTCAAATAAGGAATTATCTCGAGAAAAATATGACTTCAAAGTTTTTGGTTCTGCATTTCCACAAAGTGAGACGAGGTGAAACAATCTCACTTTCAATTCAATTGCAGTCTTTTAGGGTGGCATCCCTCAAGACTCACTAATCAAGTCAAGTGTCCCAATCATCTCTATAAATAGTGGGCCCTTTTGAAACGGTAGGGTTCCTAGCTACCTCTAAAATGCCATTTGTATTAGAGTCGTCTTTATTAATAGCTACACTACAGCCCCATCCTCCCCGGGATAGAGCCGTCTTTATTAATAGCTACAGTACATCCTCCCTCCTCCCCGGGACAGGTACTGTAGTCCGAGGAGGAAGTTGGAGCTCATGTAACTTTCCAAAAATTACATATCTAAGGGGAAGGATTTTGCTTTGACTCTTGAAGGTAAGTAGATGCTATTCCTAACATATTTTTAAGGTATAGTGGTAGATTATTTGCTTAATTAGTTTTTTCATTTTCTCTCTCTTGCATGTTGGTTGAGGTATTTATGAAAGAAATTAGACCAAATCTTTGAAGATCCTAGCTTAAATTTAGTAGGGGAACAAGATTCTACCCTTATTCAATAGCCACATCTTAAAAAGACTCTAATACTATTAATTAGAATTAGAATTATTTTTTTCTCAATATCCATATTTTTGTTTGTTTTCGAAAGATGATTAAGTGCATCAATAATGGGTTGAATATTAGTTGGTGCAAAAATTAATCAATTTATTTGTAGCCATGGCTTGATGTAGTTGTTTTTTTTGGTATTTTGGAAGATGAATCTCGTTACAACATACACCAAGATGGGAAGTTCTCAGTGAAATCACATTACCTAGCCAAGCCATGATCCATAATGTGATGTGCCAAACATTAATAAATGTCTACCCTGGCCCGGCTTTGCTGGTGCGGATAACAAGACCCTTGCTAGGCTAGGAGCCAATTTGGCTCTCTTGCAACAGCAAGGAAAACCTTGCTAGCATAGGAATCAAGATAAGTTGGCTAGACATCTAAACAAGCTTCTAATTCTAGTTCCTTGCTCAGCTAGTAGATGACATAGTGCTTGGCAAAAGGATCAAGCATGCCCTTAGTCTCTCCGAAATGCTAAGACGGTCTCCAATAACCGTGACCCAAAATATAAGACCCATTCATCCTTTGGGTAGCGCTACAGGCAAAGGGTTCAATACCTATTTTTGGTCTTCTCCAACAACAAGACCCAAAAGACAACCCTTTCTACAAATAGGTCTCCAGGAGAGAGGATACTCAGATGTGGGTTATGACTCTCCTGGCATTTAAAATAGGTCTTCCATATAGGTACTCTGTTGAATGCTATATGTATTGTGTTGGAGACCCATTTTAGGTTTGGGTTCCGCAATGGATCTCTTGTTGGAGACAGCCTAATAGGGTAGAGAGTGTGCACATGTTTATAAAATGTGTGATTGTGCTACGTATATGTGAGCATTTGCATCTTACGGTGTTTTAGAAAAAAAATACAAGCAAACAGTGCCTATTATAAATTAAACTTTCCAAGATGCTAATTTGGATGTGCATATGCACCATGTCATGCATAGGATTTTTGGGCTGTGACAAATTTGTTTTTGTTGTGAAAGTTGCATATTATTGTGGTGTGCTTACAAGCCAAAAAAGTTAAACCGTTTCAGATCTTTACTGAAGGAGGGGGGGGGGGGGCGTTACCATGGTGAAAAAACTTTTGGAAAATCTATAATATCAAATTGCAATGGCCCTATTATGTTGTTTGTAGCTGAAAATACTCCCTCCAATCATAAAACGTACTGTACCATTTCAAACAAGACTCGGTAAAATCATAAAAGCTATAAACACCAATAACTTATATTTTTTTTATTTGAAAACATGTAACACATATCTATATTTGTATTGGAAAACATTTGAAAAGAAATCATGAATTTGGAGGATTTTAAGAACACGTCGTTTAATATTATAATATTAGTGGTCGAATCATGTAAAGTCAGGTAATTATACGAGGAGTTACTTTAGGGCACGTTCAGTTCTCACGAAACCGAGTGGCGGAACGGATCCGGCCGTGTGCTGTATTTTATACGGCCAACCACCACCGGGAAGCGTGAATCGGGCCCTTAGTCTGCTGTCCGTGCAGGGAGTGCACCGGTGTGGACCGAAGCAGGGACAGAAGGGCGGCGCAATGGACGCGTGACTGTCGATGGGCCCAAAAACGGAAGGAACTGGCCTGGCTGGGCTCGTGATATGCGATGGGCCATGTACGGAGTGAACTGGACTGGCTGGGCCCGTGATCTGCGATGGGCCATGTTAGTTGTTTCTAAGGAATCCAAGGATAATACTTGCCCGCTGTCACAGGAGTATAGGACGAGCATTTGTGCCTTTGTGTTTGCCCCAGGGCAAAGTTTGGGCTACTGTTCTGCTCAAGGCACGAATATTACTGCCTTGCATGCGTGCACAACGGACCGGCCTGCTGCAGCTGTATATAAGACGTGGATCGCCTGCGACACCATCACGGTGTTGGTGTGCAAGACGACACAAGACAGGCAGAGACGGCAGCAGCACTAGCAGTGTAGCAGATCAGAGGAGAACGAACAATGCGGCGCTACGGGCAGTCGCTGTACCAGCCGCGGAGCCCGGTGGCGCGGTGCGTCAACTTCCTCTGCGCGGTGCTGCTCACGCTGATCCTCGTCGCCGGCGTCATCCTCTTCGTGCTGTGGCTGAGCCTCCGTCCGCACCGCCCCAAGTTCTACCTCGCCGACTTCTCCATCCCCAACGCCAACCGGCAGTCCGCCGGCCTGGCCAACCTGCCGATGCACTTCACCGTCAACGAGCACAACCCCAACCAGAAGATCGGCATGTTCTACGACGAGATCCTCGCGTCGGTGTTCTACGGCGACCAGCTCATCGCCACGGGGCCCGTGATGAACCCCTTCTACCAGCAGCCCAAGGGTGACACGCCCGTGCAGGGCACCCTCCTCGCTAGGGGCCCCGTCCCGACGGACCCGTCGTGGGGGCGCTTCGCCGGCGAGATGTCGGCGGGTAGCGTCGAGATGCGGCTGGTGCTCACCTCCAAGGTGCAGTTCCAGGTGAAGGTGTGGGACACCAAGCATCACCACATGAAGGTGGAGTGCGACTTCACGATGCAAGGGGACGGCACGCTCCGTCCGCAGGACAAGAACTCCCAGTGCACACTCTACTTCTAGCATGCATGTCTCTCTGCTTCTCGGATTCTCGGTCTCGGCTTGAATTGGTGTGGGCCTCGCTGACTCCTTTCAATTATTCTTGGTTCAAGGTCGTGTCAATTGTATTTAGTGCTTTCCCCCCTCATTTGGCTAATCTTTGGTTTCAAGGTCATGTTGTATTTAGTGTTTCCCCCATCACTTGGATGATATTAGTGGATGTTTTAATGCAATTATTAGTAACAGGAGCGTATTCATTCAAGAGAACATTTGCAAAATGTGATCTGTTCTTCCAAAAATTTAAAAATCAAGAAGATATACAAAGGATGTAATCTACTCATATTATTAAGCCAATAATCACATGAATTTAAACCATGACATCGTCGATTCATAAATACCGACACAGCATCTCAATAGAGCACCGTGTTCCAAGTGTCAATTCCTAACCAATCATAGAATGAACAGCCAAAACACATGCGGGTATTCTTCCTTTCTTGAGAAGTACATACTAATTCTATTAACTTCTAACAAATTTACAACAAAACTGAGCTGGCCACTTGATGTGTCCCGGACTCACTTTTTTTTTTTTTTGGAAGTAACCAAATTACAAGGTAGCTGGCGGTAAACCCCTAACCAAATGCACTTGTATTGTTTGGCGTCTCTTCATTTCTCCTCTAGTCTCCTCACGACAGATTCGGCGAATATGCGTTGCCTGGAGATTGGAAACCACTTTAGAAACTTTGGAACAGTACAACTCAGGAAATGGGGTTAGGAGTGAGGGAGGAAACTCACTTCTCTTCAGCGTGTTTGGGACTAGGGCGGTTGTATTTCAGATAGCCATCCCACGGAACCTTCTTAAGACCAGCTCTAGCTGCTATCATGTCCCTTACTCTGTTCGAAGCATTTAAACATGCAAGAAAGAATATATTATGGTCTCTCCAGAAAGACAAGGCACCTTAAGCTTTTCTTGGAAAATAAAATAAATTTAAAAAATATGTTACCTCTCAGCAAACGCAATTGCAGTCTCTCCCTCCCTCATATATTGAGGCTCCAAGTACCAAACATCACACACAACAGCCCATGATGTCATCAGTCGGACCAAGTGCATTGTAAAAGATTGCCTAAAACATTTCATGCGAGGTAATCATGTTAATTAACCAAAGAAAAGTGCGGACGAAATAAATTTGTTTCATCATTTGTATTCCTTACTTCTTACTGTTCCAGAAGGCATCCACAAATATTTTATTGTACTTGATAGCTATTGGACAGACAGCGCAGCCAAGCTCAAAGGCACCCTAGAGAACAGAAACAATAGACAAACATTGTCATAGTAAATAACAGCAAGTCAGAAATTATGCAAATAAATGCCATGCTGCGACTAACTTCTAAACTCTGACATCTATTTACTTTCTCACATATGAGCGAGCTGACAATGAGAGCGTCCCATGTTTGGCTACCAGGAAGGCCGAGATAGAAATTTACATTTTTTTTCAAAAAAAAGTTCTGTAGTTACTTGCACACACCACAAAGTAAATGAAGATGGGGTTCACCTTCTTGAACATGACCGTGTACTGGGTGTTAACACAAGTTCCTTCTGGGAAAATCAAGAGAGGGTTGTTGTCTGGTTGTTGAACATGGTCACGCAACCTGACAATGCAATTCTTTGAGCAAAATAAACTACATAATCAAGGGGATTGTCATTTCAAAGACAAAACTTACTTCCGTGCCGTAACTTCACGATCCCGGAGATCATTACGGTTAAACCAGATGCAACCCACACTTTCCAAGATAGTCTTCTGAATAAATCCTGCAAATAATGGGAACAGACAAATAGAGAAATAATAATAAATCATTTGAAACTTAAATCAGCAGAGAATTTTCTGAAGAACCGGGGACTCACCAACCCATCCAGGATGCTTCTGCATGATGACAGCAAATGCCGTCATTTGCTCCAGAATAATGAAATCTATCATTGATGTATGGTTTGCAACAAATACCTAATGTATTGGAATAGAATTGCAAAGGGCAGTTATCAGCAATGCACTCAGATTTAAGGAAGCTACAGTGCTTACATGGACCTACCTAATTATTCTAATAACACAATTTTATTGGAGCTACAAGCAATCTAATTTTGAATGCAAAAAGTCGACATCTTTTTTACAATTGTGAAAAATCAATATTTGGTAATGCATAAAATTTAGTTCCAACACTCTTATGTTTTACAGTTCAAAAGCATGGACAATTAGCACCTACCTCTAACGTTCTTACATATACACAAATCTAAACACGAGTTACCGAAACATAGAAAAAGGTAACCTGATGAGGTCGTGTGCTTGGGCGTGGTCCATGGTACTTGATCACTCCAGTCCATGAAGCAACAAAAACACTGCACATCATTTCAACCAACTTCCTCTACATGAAGATTGAAACAAAATAATGTAATTAAGAGACCAAGAATAAACAATATAAATGAAGTAAAAAAGAAACAGCAAATAAACAAAAACTGTGGAGGTATGGAAATGTAGACTGCGTTATTAAAAAAAAAAGACCAGAAACTGTTCAATCCTCCTAGTGCTACTCTTTTGCAGTCAAATCTAAGCAAAGCAAAATATCAATTTCATGAGAAATACTGTGAAAACAGGACATTTCCAAAAAGCTTGAAATGGCCATCTTTTAAGTACTTGCTAGGCTTAATAAGATGACTTAGAGGAAAACCGTAGCATAGACGGTCATAATTGATTTTCATGATGCAGGTAGTTGCTGCCACCATGGAAGCTTTATTATGAACTAAACAGATGAAACTGAAAAAAACTTAAGGGACAAACTAGGTAGATGATGTTAATCCCTATAATTCAATAGTTTAAAGTCGTCACTCGTCACAAGGCCTGAAATAGCAACAGCAGGTTATTACTCCAAGAACATCATCTCAGAAGTAGCCTGAGGAATGATGGATGAACAGTGATAGTGTGATACTATGCAAGCTAACATAGATATACCAGATTAAATAGCTTACCTCAATTTTACTTCTCAACTTGTCTTGACCTTTGAATAAGAAATGGACGGGGAAAAAGGCGGCAAAAAATGCTAACCATCCTAACGCAAGTGTTAAGGACCTGATTAGAAAATTAAAACAATCAGGTGGTGATGATTTAATGTTTGACAAAATAAATAGAGGAAGGTGAAACACTAGAAGAAAATGAATTCCATTGACACGCTCATCGGCAAAATTTTCTAAGTGAATTGTGCTTCCGGAAACTACTGAAGCAACTGAAGAAGATTTGGACTGTATGCCATAGAAGATGGCTTATGATGAGATGGTTAGATATAAAAAAAAAAAATTCAATCTGATCTATGAAAGCAAGTGTAGATCGTGACATTTTTACATTGTTATCTTATTAAAGGTGGAGGTAACCAAATAGGCCCAATTACATATTTAGTATTGTACAAACTAGTAGGTTCCACACAGGGCCTATGGCCTCCCTAAATCCTCTTTTGACTCCAAAAGTTTTGCTAGTTATGTTGGCTTCAAGCACTTCCCAATTTGTGCTGACAATAAACAAACAACTGCAGAACAACACGAGTGCTAAAGAAAGAGTGGGTTTAGAATTTAGTGTCTGAGAACTGAGTAATCTAATCAGTTGAATAACAAAAATTACTCAGGGAAAAGAATTAGGAATATCTTAACACTCAAGTACCTCAGTGGGAAGAGTATTCCATATCTAATTACTACACCGAAGCACCATAAGGGGAACAAATATATGTTCCAATTCCATGGTTCTGGAGAATTCGACTTAAAGCAACGCGTGAATGAATCCTGCATATGTGTAAAATACAGTCGATAAAATAACTACACAGTGAAACAAATAAGGAAGAGTCAGAATAACAAATGTTATCCTGTTTATTTCATACAGCAATTTAAGTCAAAGAAACAGTGGTACAGAAGAAATAAAAATATGAAGATATGGAAGATTTTATGTAATGATAACATCTTTGCAAACAAACACATAACCCGGATTTTTCCACCTCAAACATAAGCTGTTCTGTGGTTTAACCAGGCTATATACATGTACTCCTACAAAGGATCATCCAATTAATATTCGTGTCAAACAGGATATTCATGCTCCATCTATATGAACATAGGAAGATTTCCTGCAGATCTTAGTTGACACTTGACAATGTGGCAAGAGCTTTACAATTGGAATTAACTAATGTAAAACAAAAATATGAACTGTCATTATTTAGAATGGCATAGACTGTATGTGGTTCTTCCAATAATATGCTTCAACTAGCTCCACAACAGCCTATAAGAGTACGAATGCTATACCAAAAACTATGTATCCACAATGCACAATGAAAGAAAATAAAATTAAACACTGAACCAAGCACGATTGGTTCCAACAAGAGCAATATGCTGGCAGATGGACAGGGTCACCGCAAGGTTGGTTAGATAATTCATTTAAATTGCAATAAAAACAAAAGGGCAGCTGGTACCTAGATGCTCCACAAAGGCTAGTATCCTGGCAAGATTTACTATACTATTAGCAGATCATCTAAAAAGGAGGCTCGCTCGCTCAGATTGAAATCCTTAATACTGAGGTAGTACTTCTTCATATTCACCAGAGTGGTGACAATTAACTACAAATTGCAAAAAAAATCAACATTTTAAACAACCAAATGAAAATCTTGCTAAGCAAGGGGATGACTTAATAATTGATAAAATTTGTGAATTGTGAAGTCTCAAACTTCACAGAAACAATAATAAATCCTCTACAGGAAAGATTCACAAAATCAGGCCAATTAGATACTTTCAATAAATGATTTTTTGTAAGTTCATCTAAATTAACTACAAGATTAAGTTTTACACCATTATTTCATACACCAAAGCCAGAAAATTGACCTTGAAGAACTTTTAAATAAAATGGAACATCTAGCAGGTGAATGGAATATATCAAATTCCTACAAAATTCCAGATAATAAAGTCATGAATAACAAATTCAATGAAGTTCCTTTGATGAACGGTGGGCTATAGCTGAGCGTTTGGTCGACGAGCAAGCTAGGAAGGGCATTGAGCTATGTTGTCATCTTATGTACTTCGCCAATTTGGGAACACCATGACTGGTGCACGCTTGATGGTTCTGCTCCTAGCATAGCTAGAGCTCTGACGCTTGCTGTTGAGGAGCTCCATCTCTAGGGTTTGGCAGGGGCTCGAGGAATCACATAACTTCTTGCACTTGCTCCACGAGGATGATGGGTAGCTGTTGTTGCCTTGTTGGATCAGGATCATGTTAATGCGTTAGTTATTAAAGGTGAGATTTTCCTTTTCTTGTGGGAGTGTGTGGGTTTTTTTTTCTTCAGAAACGGTTCTTACACCTTTTTTCAACTTATATGTCTTCCACCAAAAAAATGGGATAATAACAGAATAAATGAAACAGTTAAACGACAGCAGCTAAAGCCGATACTCATCTCCACAAATTGCCGCTATGCAGAGATAACTTGCTAAACCTCACAGATCATAAGCCAATCCTCTGCCACGAACCCAGGACAGCACCTTCTAACCCAAAATACATTACACAGAGGATTAAAAATCCGAGGAGGCACTCACATCGACGATGGCCCCCGCCGCCTCGGTTAGCACCGGCGAGATGTCCAGCAGATCGCGCCTGCACAGCAGAAGAAAAGCGCAGAAAGCCTCATAAGTCTCGGTGGTACAAGCGAAGCACTAGGGTTAAGGAACGGAAAAGTAAGGATTGAGACAGGCTCTAGGGCGATTACAGATGGAGATTCCGGGGCGCCTCCTGCGGGAGCGAGTCGGGCGGGAGGTAGTCCTCCAGGTTCGGGCGGTCCAGCTCCATGTCCGCCGCCACAGACGAGCTCGCCATCGCCTCCGGCCGCCCGCCGCCCGCCCGCCGCCGGTGAGATGGCGACGCCGCCGAGGAAAAAGCTGCGCGATGGGGAGAGGCGAGCACGTGGATCGGTGGATGGGCGTAATGAGGCGTGTACGGTATCCTCTTCCTCTTCTTCTCCAGCGAATTGGTTTTCTTTTCTTTTATCTTTTTTTTTTAGAAAGTTCTCCAGCGAATTGGTGCGGTGCGGACGTGTCTGTCGAATGGAATCGCACCATCTCCATCGAGGGGATGCGGCTCATAAACCAGCGGGCCCCACCTGGCAGGAGATCCATGGGCTCACTTGGTTGGCTCACAGGCCAATCTTTGCGGCCCGGCCTGGCCCAAAAGGATCGCTTAAGGTGAGGGTGCTCTCTTTTCTGTTGTGCCAGCCCTCGAGGTAAGAGCATCCCTCGTCGCCGCCGCGCCCTCGCATTCGTAGCAGCCAGCCACCATGGCGCCGCCGGCCAGCACCGACGAGCCCGCGCGCCACAAGAAGGCCAAGAAATCCAAGCTCGACAACGAAGAGAAGAAGCACAAGAAGAGGGACAAGGTGCGCGCCGCCACAGAGGGCGCCCCGGTCCCCGACGCCGCCGAGCGCAAGAAGCGCAAGCACAAGGACGAGCGCGAGGAGAAGCGGGACGGCAAGAAGTCCAAGAAGGAGCGGAAGCCCGAGGGAAAGGGAGCGGAAGCCGAGGCCGCCGATGGGAGGGACGAGAAGATGAGGCGGGCGATGGAGGACGAGCGGTTCGCGGCGGCGCGGACGGACCCGCGGTTCTGGCCGATGCGGAGGAAGGAGGCCAAGGTGGCGCTGGACTCGAGGTTCAGCAGCATGATGACGGACCCGAGGTTCGCCTCGTCGGCCGCGCCCGTGGACAAGCGCGGGAGGCGCCGCAAGAAGCGCGAGAACCCTATGCTGGAGTACTACCTCAACCAAGAGGACTTGGAGGAGAAAGGGAAAGGGAAAGGGAAAGGGAAGGGGAAGAAGGAGAAACCGGAGCTTGTTGAAGAGGAGGAGGAAGATGAAGAGGACGTAGAGGAGCAGGAGGAAGAGGAGAGCTCTAGCAGCGATGACGACGAAGATGAAGACTTGGATGACGACGACGAGGTGACGCTTTGCTTCCAGTCCTTTTGATGCTTTAGCTTACATTTAGCTTGTTTTGCTCTGGCCGAGGTCGGGAATTTCTATCTGTATATAAGTTTTGCAGCTTTCTTCCATTTTCTGTCGTCCTATAATATTAGTGCAGGGTCTATGCACTTTAGCTCTTGCGCCAGCTAAATTGCACTTATCTTAAACCAGTACGGTCGTACTGGCTTCATGTCCTTGCTTTCAAGTGTTGATAATATACTTTAGATTCTTGGGAGAACAATGTGCATTCGAGCACCTTCTTGTTTACAGTAGCCTCGTTGGTTATTTTTTACTATTAATTTCTTAATTTTATCTCATGTGGGTTAAGGTGCTAGTTTTAATCCCACGGTGCTTTTTCTAATTAGTTATTGCAGCGCAAGTTATTGTATTGAGTCTCTAGAGTTTATTTTCCATGCAGACCTCAGGACTCCATTCTGGACTGGAAGATATTATAGATATGCGTATTTATGTAGTGCATCTCAACATAGCAGTAGCACACTTTAGTTATTGCAGCGCAAGTTATTGTATTCTAGTCTCTAGAGTCTATTTTCCATGCAGACCTCAGGACTCCATTCTGGACTGGTTGATATTATACATATGTGTATTTATGTAGTGCATTTCAACATAGCACACTTGAGTATGGACATCTCAGTAACATTGCTTAGTTAGTTCACTCCCTGTTTTGAGTGAAGTAGCGTGCTTATGTCTGTAATTGTCCAAGTGATTGTCTCAGTACCATTGATATATGCTTGTGATTATAGACAATTACACAACCCTACAAGTGCTCAAGCCTGCATCCAGGAAAACTTTGGGAGTGCTTCTATGCTTTATCTCTCTTTGCCAAGTGTTGTTCTCTTCTGCCTTGACAACCTTCATAACGCACCTCATTTCTGTAAAAATGTGAAAATCCACTTGTACAATGGTGCACATGTGGAGCCAGAAAATCAAATTTTCCTTTGTTTGGGGGGGCAATAGTAGTAATATTTTCAGAATTTTGTTGAATTCAATATTTTTATTGCAAATTCAGCTTTCTGTGTTTCTATGCTCTATCCTGTTGCATATTTTATTATTTTGTTTTTACCAGCCTTGTTATTTCCATTGCTTAAAGGATATTTTTAAGAGTTCTATGTTGATGCTTTGCCTGAAAGAAAACAATATGCTATGCTACAAAATGCCATTTTCTTTATGGCTAATTCTTGTTTTTTATTTTTTTCTACAGTGCTCTGTTGGCAGTGACATTGCTCATTACTTAATGGGAAGGCATGATGATACACCTATGATTGACAAGGAAACTCACAGGCTTGCTGTTGTTAATATGGACTGGGATCATATTAAGGTGTGTTCTAGTGCAATAATTATTTCATCCTGAGACGTGAACTGATGTGCCTAAACAAATATCAGCTATGCTAAAAGGCTATCTTATTTTACATGCATTTAAGAATTAACTGGATCTATCAACAACTTTACTTGAAATATAACTGTGAATCTAACATGTATCTTGACTCCAAATGATAAAGTCATGTGTCTTCCTGCAAGAAAAAAAAAGGAATATTAAGGACTAAAAGTAAAGTAAATGTTGATGGTGAATCACTGAGTTCCTTGACCTATTTATGCATTAGCTGATCAGCTATTGCTCGTATATACATGATAGCCAAACCATAATGGACCTAGATCAGTGCAAGCACCTTAACTTCAGATGTCCTAGTCCTAGATGCTAGTGCAGACAACAAACACAACTTCATTCATCAAATTTGAAGGTTGGGCCACTATTTTGTGTGGTTCTATGTAATTAAGATCGTACATAGGATCAGGATGGAGATAATCAAACAGGATTTTACCTACTGGCTGCACAGAATTGCTAATTGAGATACTGGACCGTAACTATGTAAGTGTCGGTGTTTCGTATAGGCACCGGCAAGTAAATTTATAGTAATGCGCGTTAGGCTCGGATGATGCACTAAAGGACACAAGATTTATACTGGTTCGGGCCGAATGTCCCTACGTCCAGTTTGTTGTTGCTCGTGTTATTAGCACCGTGAACGGTTCGTAGTAGGGGTACAACGATCGAGAGGGACTGGTCCCAAGTCTCTCGATGGAAGGGTTGAAAGGAGGTCAAGAACTTGGTAGCCGCTTATTTGTGTGTGTGTCTTCATTGCATTCGGTCGAAGTCCTCCCTTTTGATGGAGGAAGCGCATCCCTTTTATAGAGGAAGGGAAATTTTTTACAAGGGTGAGGGCTTTAGGATGCGTACTCTACTTAGTCTTGTGGCTCACGTCTACCCTACTGGTTCTTCATTTCGATGAGTGCGAAGGAAGATAAGCGCCCTACATCATGTCGATGTCTCTGTAGAATGTCAGTTGGTTATAGAATGCCCTGTAGCAGGTATGGGCCTTGAGATCTGATGGTTTTGACTTATGAGCCTCCCCTGACCTTGCTCACGCCTATACGGTTCCTATGAGTCTTAAATCGGAGGGACGCGGGTCGGGTCTGGAGTAGCGCCGTGGCCAAGGTCTTTGTCTTGGTGGACTGGGGGTCGGAAGCGGGCACCGCTCCCCAGGTCCATAGCGTGGTGACGGAATACCCGTCGTCGTGGAGATAGCAAATCTTTTTTACGGGCGTAGCGATTGTCGATATCTTCGCCGGGTTCCGTGTCCCAGAGTGAAGGCGGCGCCTACAACTCTACAGTATGAAGAGCACGACCTGTAACACTTTTCGGGCTCTACGGCGCCGGAAGGGTCTAAAGCACTATCGCGTCGTTCCCAAGCGGTACTTTTCTGCCAGGTGCGGTGGTATGGTCCTTGGAGCCATGGTTGACCCGAACGTCTTATCTTGCCCTGTACCCATCATTATGAGGGAATGGGTGGAGTTGTCGTGTAAGATGAAACCAGTCTTTAGATATCGGCGAGGCGAGGCTCGTTCCGGCCGTCGGGTGAAACGGAGACCAATCCCTATCTCTTGGCGAGACCGACCCGCCCCTCCGGCCCGGTTCGGGAGGTGAGTCTATCCTTCACCCTCGGGCGAGACCGAGCCCGCCCATAGGCGTCGGGTGAGTCGGAGACTAGTCCCGAGCCCTCGGCGAGACCGTGCCCGCCTAAAGGCGTCGGCGAGACGGAGACTAGCCCCGAGCCCTCGGGCAGGCGAGCTACCCCAAAGGCGTCGGGCGAGGCGGAACCAAACTCCCTGTCGTTCGAGCAAGGAACGCCACTGGCGCCCTTATCCGTCCAGAAGTTTTTATCGTTCGGTAGTTATTGGTTCCACCTTCTGGGGTACCCTGGTGTTAGGTCCCCGACAGTAAGATTGATAGAATGATACCAAATCCAGATCTCATTTATTGAAAATCGTCTGTTGCTAAAACTGAAGGCCTGAACAGCCCCTTACCATTTATGTGTGTTTTTTAAAGTTCTTCCTAGCAAATTTTAATGGGTAAATTTCAATGCAATGAACTGATGATGTAATGACTATTATTGCTTTTTCATCCCTATTTCAACAGGCAGTTGACCTGTATATGGTGATGACTTCTTGCCTCCCAAAGGGTGGCCGAGTTTTGTCGGTCTCAATCTATCCATCAGAATTTGGACTGAAGTGCATGGAAATTGAGTCAACACAGGGCCCAGCTGCTCTGGTCAATGCCAATGTTGATAAAAAAGACAGTGATGAAGATGAGGATGACAAGGATGATGATGAAGAGAACACTGACGATGATGTTGTTGATGATGATGAAGAAGAAGAGGAAGTTGACTCCGACAAAGAGAACAACAAGCTGCGTGCTTATGAGCTAAACAGACTCAGGTTAATATTGAATTGGAGTGACATTCATTTGATGATAGATTTTTTTTATTATTTGTTTTTCCTGTGCCATGAGTTATTGAGTTGTAAATGACATAAAATTGGCATCTTCAAACTGATAGCCACAAAAGCGTGTATTAGATTAGTTATGATGGAGTCTCCTTGACATATTTAGCATTGCTTTCATATTATTTTTGTCAATTGTTTTTTTCGATTTGTTCCATATTACAGTGTTAGTATACAAGGGTTACAGTTTTTCTGCTCTCATGCTTCAATTGATCCTGCTGCAGGTATTACTATGCAGTTGTGGTGTGTGATTCCAGCGCAACAGCAAATCACCTGTACATGACTCTTGATGGGACCGAGTTCTTGAAAACAGCAAATGTGTTTGATTTGCAGTTCATTCCTGACTCTAGGGAGTTCAAACACCCTGCTCGAGACGTCGCTACAGAGGTACCTTCCTTTGTTGAGTGTATCCAGAACCAATTTCTTCATAGTAGTATTAGTTGAGCAGTGACGAAATATTGGAATAGCATAGTGACAAGTGCCTTTTTTTTTAAAAAAAAAAAGACTGATACTTATTTCCCTTTTCCATTGCTTTTCTTACTTTGTGGTTTCTATGAATGTACAAGGTCCTAGTCATGCTAAATGAAGCTTCCGTTTTGTAAATAACTTGAATGATTTCAGGCACCTCCGAATTACAAGGAACCTGATTTCGAGACTCGTGCTTTGCAACATAGCAGAGTTAAGCTCACCTGGGATGATGATGAACCTGAACGTAAGAAAGTCTTGAGGCGAAAGTTCACTGATGATCAGGTTGGGTCTTGTTTTTTTTTATGTTCCTATTTATCCTTGTAATTATTTATTTCTTGTACTCTTATATACAACTTTTGTTTCTATTTTTCTGATGCAGCTAGATGAGCTTGACATGTATTTAGCAAGTGATGGCAGTCGTCAGATGATGAAAGTGTAGACAATTCTGAGGACGAATCTCTACCAAAATGGGGATCCAAACGGAAGCTAACAAAGAGGAGAGGTTGGCTCTTCTGCTGCAAGGTGACAAATCTGATGAGGAGCAAAGTGATGGCCAGGATATGGAGATTACATTCAACACAGAGCTTGAGGATCTTAGTAAACGTATCCTAGAGAGAAAGAACAATGAGGAGAAGACCGTCTGGGAGAAGCACCAAGAGAAAATGAAAGAGAAAAGGAAGGCTAGGAAGAGGGGAGTAAAGGATGAAGACGATGATGACGACTACAGCAGTGAAGATGAGCGTGAGAATAATGATGATTTCTTTGCAGATGAACAGTCTGATGAAGAACCTAAGCCAAGCAAAAGCAAGAAACACAAGGCAAAGGCAAAGGACAAAGCAAAGAGGAAAGGAAAGGATGAAACCACAGAGGAGCATTTGGAACAAGAAGCAACCAAAGAAGAGTTGGAGCTCTTGGTTGCTGGTGATCAGGACACTGCCAATGGTGCAAAGGGTTATAACCTGAAGCGTAAAAAGGGTAAAAAGGGCAAGAAGAGCAAAGAGGAATCTGCTGAGGACAAACTTCCTGATATTGATCTTAGCAAGGATGAGAGGTTCTCACCGATGTTTACGTCTCACTTGTTCGCATTGGATCCTACTGATCCCCAGTACAAGAGGTACGTGCTGTATACATTTTACCTTATTATGATACGGTGAGAAACTTCCTTAATATTTCTGATTTGGTGTTCACCCGTGCTGGAATGTTATTTTATAGGAGTGCGGCCTTCATGCGAAAGCAAGCTGGGAAGCCAGGGCCACATGGAGGCAAATCAGGCAGGGAACCTCCTTTGGAGGGTTCGTCTCTGGGAGGTACAGTACCACCTGACGATGCTGCTACTAACAATGATGATCAGAAACCTGATGGTTCAGCCACAGAGAAGCTGCAAATTTTGTCTGCTGTCAAGTCTCTCAAGAGGAACCTTGGTGCTTTCAAAAACTCCAATACAGCTGGAGCTGACCGATAAAAAGAGCACCATTTTGTTCCAGCTATTACACTTAATTAGTGAAACACCTTTGGGGGAAAATGATTTCAGTTATATAGGCTTCGAAATAGTTTCATTGTTATGTATGCTTATCTTTGTAATTCTGTACACATGCGTCCAATCTTTGGATTTTCAGTTTTGACACTATTCAGAATCCAGTTGGCGATTCTGTTCGTTTCTGGTGAGATAATTGGTTGAATTTATCAATTTAGTCACAGCGTAGGTGAATGTCTGGCATGGTTGTAAATGTGACGGCTCAATGAGACCCTTTGGAATCCCTATGGAATTCTAGCAAGAGGTTGAGACTTGTAGAAAGTTTTGTCAAAGCCGGTTTAGGGCCTGTTTGGTTGAGATTCATCAGCTCTAGATTCACCAGATCCAGATCCACTTTGAATCGTGAAGGAGAGAACCCCTGACAGATATCCTGTGACCAAAGCAAGATGAAGTTTTGTCAAGTTGATTTCCTGCATTGGTTTGCTTCGGTCACTGGAGATGGCCTTTAGGCCGTGCCCCAACTTTTTTGTTTTTTTTTTTGCCCTTTTTTTTAAAAAGTTTTTCATGTCTCTGCAGGTATGTTTTTAAAATCTAGACTCTTTAGTTCGGCGTCATCGTTGGTGGCGCCGAGCTTACAAGTCTCGGCGCCAAAGGGTTTGGCGCCAGGTCGGGGCCACGTTGGCGGCCTAGACGCTGACTTGGCAAGCAGCACAGCGCCGGGGTTATTGGCGCCGTTCTCGGCGCGAAGATCTATGGCGTCGAGGTGGTGTTTTAACCCGGCGCCTAACCTTGCTACCCGAGCCTTCTTCCTCTTCTTTCTCCTCTCGGGTTTTTTCTCTCCCCACTTTACCCTACCTCACGAATCGGCATATTGGACCTTGAAAACTTTGATTTGATCCGTAGATCTTCGAGAGCAAGGTATTCTCGCTCCCTCTTAGATTTTTTTTCACATCGATTCGGTATATATTAGTCGAATTTTTCAACTTAAGAATTGTCATTACTTAGGTTTCATGCAATTTTAATATTTATATTATACAACCGTATGATGCCAAGACATGAACAAGCTAGCAAACCAAGGTAATCTCAGCGCATGTTGTTATGTTATGGGTTCATTGTTGTGGATCAAATGAGAAACCCTAGGTGTAGGGTTTAATGTTAATTGCTTTCGGTTCTTAGAACGAAAATGGTTAAATTGTAGTTATGGCCGGATGACCGAAAATGCCTTCGACCCATTGCCTCTGCCTAGTGGTGTTCTAGTGGCCATGTGCTTTTGCGACGATCCTTGCAAGGTAGCCAAGTCCAATGAAGAGGACACGTATAGGCAGAGGTATTGAATGCGTTCCAATTTTGCGTTTGAGCCTACACTTTGTCAGCGCTGCATTAATAAGATGGTGATGAATTGATGTTGTGTAATAATTATTTTATGTCATATGACATCTTGCATGATTTTTTTTGTTTTGTAATAATTGTATTTGTTGCAGACCCCTCCACCGCTCTATGATTTTGAGCAGTGGATCCACAATGAGATCGAGCCTGAAGACAAGGAATGGATGCAGAACTGTTGCGGTGGGAGGCAGAGGACAAGGAGATGATGGAGAAGAGACGCAGAGAGGAGGCTGCAGAAAAGGAGCACAAGGAAGAGGAGCAAAGGAGGCGTGTTGCTACGTACAGGGAGGAGAGGGAGAAGAAGCTTAAGTGTGCACGCCGAGCGAAAGCAGCGATGGAGGAGAATCTCGATGCCTTGGAGAAGGAAAAGTGGCATCGTTGCACTTAGTAGTTTCCATTACTTGCTAGTTCTATGATTTATTCATGAACAATGTTGTCTACTGTTGGACTTTTTATTGTGTTGTTATGTAATGCACTTTAAGTATGGCCATGCTTAGGTCATGTACTGCGTTATTTAGTTTGTCGGCACGTACTTCTAATATTATTGTGTTGTTTAATGTGTCATAGTATTGGACTTTTTATTATGTAGTTGTTTTCATTATTTATGGTCATAATATTCAGTTTAATATTACGGACGTAGTGAAATGTGATCACATGCTGTAAACAAAACCTAACGAAGTAGGGCATTATATAATTCAACACACACAACACATGAAATGGTATGTGAGAACATGTACCGAACTAGGGTACAGAGGTCCTGAACTAAACCTAGCGCTATATGCGGGTGTCGTCGGCCGGTCATGGCGCTCCATTCTGTCCCAGCGGGCGCCATGGTTAGCAGATACCCCTATCGGAAGTCGTGCGGGGATTAGGTAGCATAGCGCCGGCACGCCCGACATGTTGGCGATGTGAGTCCTCAGGTATTGCCCGTCGTGGCCGCGGGTCATGTCAAGACGCGCCTACCTCCTTTCTGCTGTTAGAAGTTTGACCCGGAGTTCATACTCTTAGACCCGTAGTGGTTGGAGGCGGTAGGGACCCCGTCGGGCGAGGCAAAATCCTCCTTCGATGGGTCTGACGAGGTGAAGTCCGCGTCCGAGGGGTCTGGCGAGACGGAGCCCGCACCCTCGGGATCGGACGAGACAGAGCCCGCGCCCGAGGAGTCTGGCGAGACAGTGTCCGCGCCTTCGTGGTCAAGCGTGACGGAGCCCGCGTCCTCGGGTTTAGGCGACACGGAGCCCGCACCCTCGGGGTCGGGCAAGATGGAGCCCGTACCTTCGGGGTCAGGCGAGACCAAAATACGCTCTTGACCATCCGGACGAATTAGCGTTCGCGGCCATCATCTTCCTTCTTCCAAGTATCCCTAATACTGATACCTGACACAAGTGCCTCACCGAGCGAATCACAAAGGCAAGGCAGTCACCACTCCTGGAGCTGCTCGGAGTTGATACGGTCCACGCCGGACGTACATCGCCCGTGCTCCCCAAGAGGAGCAGGCGGATAGCGACGTAGAGTACATCGCATATGCTGACATCCAAGCGAGGTGAGCACCTTCTCTTGAAGCGTCTGGGAGCCAGCTCTGCAAGTCAGGTTGATCAGTGTCCAATGTAACAACATAGCCTTAAGTACACTAGGGAGGATCCGAGCGTCAATATACCACTCTTCTTACCACCTAGGGTGCCGCTAAAGCGTGTTGTATTAAATATTTTTTACCTTAATACAAAGACGCACAAACATTTTGCGTGAGCGAGAAAAAAGGGGATGGGGGCATATACATGGAGCTGTCTCACTTCTTTGAGTGTGTTGGAGTGTCCCAAGGCTGAGATAAGTTAGAGCTGGTGTTTTCTACACTCCATCCATCCTCTCAAGAAGAACAATATCATATCCCCGCTAGGATAGACACTAAAATTCATAACTTAGAGCTTGACAGCTTTAGGAGTTTTGGCCTGTTGCGGCCTTATTATATATGCTTGCGAGCAAGAGCCTGTGAAGTCGTTCTGACCTTCTGGTGAGAGCATTGGGAGGCCCTCTAGGCAGATACCCTCCTATCTCCATTGGAGCAGCGTCGCTGTATCAGAGCAAGCTTAATGTATATGCCAAACCAGTCCATATGAGTGGGCCTCGATGTCAGTAGTCTTTTGATATTTCATCTTTCACAATGTCCAGCCCATAAGGTGGGGTCCACATAAAAATAAAAAACCCACAGTCCCAATTGACGAGCAGCATCTTCTTCCCGCAGTCCACTCCTCTCGCGGCGCATCGCATCTTCTCCGCGACTCCGCTCTAGCGCCGCTTGTTCTCTCTACTAGCGCCGCCCTCCTCTTCTCCTGCATATACCGGCGGCCACCTCCTCTCCTCCTCTGTTGGAGGAAGGCCGGCGTCCACCTCCTCTTTCTCCTTCGCAGCGGAGTGGCCAGGGTGACTGAGATCTGGTCCGTCCCTCCTCTGTTCCTCCGCCGGCGAGGCTAAGGGCCGAGGTCCGGCCCCTCCCTCATCCGCTTCTCCTTCGCTGGCGTAGAGGCAGCGCCGCTTGGTGGCCGCTTCTCCTCATGTTCGACGTGCAGACGGTGGCGGGGCACACGGATGCCTGTGGCGGTGTCCTCGCGGGCACGAATGGGTGTGGTGGCCTCACGGGCGGCGCGGATGGCCGGAGCGGCAGCCTCAAGGGCCGGTACAGAGAGAGACGGAGAGAAATATTTTTTTATTCCTTATAGGCAGTCCATAGTCCTATGGACGACTTTTGCTATGTCCTGCTCTATTGTTTCTTCCACGATGTTTCAGCCAATCCATAAAAAATAATTTAGTCCTATGAACTGCTTTTGGAGCACAATGGGTTGCTCTCCGGTTAAGGAGACCCCTCCAAGTTTAGAGAAGCTTCGTAGTGTATATATATGTAGACTAATGGCAAGTTAGATCACACTATAAAACCTCAAGTGCACATCTTAACAGGATAGTTTTTGGTTTTTTGTGGTTGTTTATTTTAAGCGGATTATAAAAATTAAAATTAAGCACGCAATTCATTCTTTGACCGTCACGGGACCTTCCATTAAGCAATCTTGTTAAATACACCATTCGCAGATCCAGACTTCCTAGTCAATCATGGCGGATATGGTTGCATTCGGCCCTCACCGAATGGGCCTGAGCTTAGAATTGCTCCGGGTGCTTACCGCCGGCGACACGGTCGGTTTGGCAGAGTTGCTGCGAAGAGAAAAGCAAACAAATGGCCAAGTGGCGATAACCGTCCAGGCCGCGGTGGCACCGGGCGCAGTGCCTCCGCCGCCGCCGCCGGGAACGAGCTGCCTCCATGGCGTGACCAGCAATGGGAATACAGCGTTGCATCTGGTCGCCAGCCGCGGCCACGCCGAGCTCGCGGCACTCATCTGCGACAGGGCGCCTTCGCTCGTCGCCACGCGCAACAAGTGCCTGCACACGCCGCTGCACTGTGCGGCGAAGTCCGGGAGCAGGGACGTGGCCGCCAGCATCTTGGCCACGATGCGGACTACTGGAGCGGACGCGCAGATGGCTCTGCGCGCGAGGAACTGGACGGGGGCCACCGCCCTGTATGAAGCTGTCAGGCACGGCCATACCAGGGTGGTGGATCTGCTGATGAAAGAAGCTCCCGAGCTGGCTTCTCTCGCAACTGATGGCGGTTTCTCACCGTTGTACTTGGCGGCCTCAATTAACTCGCGGCAGATGGTCCAGTCACTTCTACGACCGTCGCAAGATGGGACGCAATCGCCGGCGTCTTTTTCCGGTCCGAAGGGACGGACTGCTTTACACGTTGCAGCAGCTAGTATCCAAGGTACAAACATTTACTGGTATTTGACTTTGATTTCAAAAAAGTTCTGCTTCTTAGTTTAGTAAATTGCAACTTGTGATCCACACTTGGTAACGAGATGCTCATTTTCAACCAGAAATACCTCGAGAATTACTGAAATGGGAACCTGTTGGTCCAAGTTTGCTTACTGAAGTTGATTCATCAGGAAGAACACCTCTTCAATATGCAGTACTGTATGGAAGACTCGATGTTGTTGACCTATTCCTAGATGGTCATACATCTGAGCAATCTCGCATTCCAGATAACCATGGCTTATTTCCAGTGCATACTGCTGCTATGATGGGGAGTTCAAGGATTATTGATGAGCTCATAAAGAAATGCCCGAATTACTATGAACTGGTTGATGATAGAGGAAGAAATTTGCTTCATTGTGCTGTTGAACATAATAAGGAAACTGTGGTTCGCCACATCTGCCAGGACGAGAAGTTCGCGATGCTGCTAAATGCGACAGACGCTGATGGAAACACGGCGCTGCATTTAGCTGCCGAACACGGATTTCCACGGATCTTCAGTTTACTGCTGCAGGTAATGACTGTGGATATAGGCATTACCAACAAGGATGGCCTCACTGCAGGAGATCTTGGTTACCGTGCGAAGCAATGCGGAAGAGTGTACTATATCCTGGTAAATTTTCTCCTCGTTCTTCCGCCCATATTTTTTACGATGGTACGAAGTTTTTGCCTGATTTTATAATTACAGAAATGGGTAATTTTAATAAAATAGAATATATCTAATAGTTATTAGTATCGTCGATGATCATTGGAGTCTATTGTAGTAATGGCTAAATATTTTTTATTATCTTTAATTTATATATTTTTAGTGTGTCTTCTCAGGATTAAGGTGCAGACTCCGTTAGAAGTTTCTAATTAGTAACAGTGTGCTGAATGCTTGGCATAAAGTACACGTACACTAAACACACAGCTCCGTTTTGCTCACACTTATTAATTAACAGCACTTTTAATTTGGTCCGTCTGAAAGGAAAAACTGAAATGCCTTTTTCTTCGTTTGCTCGTCCACAGGATCCATGCGCTGTTCTTTTCCGTTGTCTGTGGTGGTCTGGAGTTACCAATACCCTTACTTTAGATGGAGTTCACCCCTTGCATGTAGACAAGAAACTCGCTGATTTGTTTCAAAACAAAATCGAAGCAACTGAGGATGAACCGTACAACGAGAAAGGAAAAACTGGAACCATTGGATCAGTCCTGATCGCCACTGTGGCATTCGCGGCAGCATTCACCGTGCCGGGGGGGTTTATCGCCGATGACCACCCAAATGCGGGGACGGCGATACTTGCGAAAAAGTTCGCCTTCAGAGCATTTGTGGTGTCAGACACCATGGCCTTCGCCAGCTCCATCATAGCAACCTCCTTCCTTATATACGGTGCAAGAGAACAAATCCCCCGCAATCATCGTTCCCGCTATAACGCAGTGGCATCTGGGTTGGTGCCGGTGGCATGGCAGTTTTTGATTGCCGCGTTTGCTTTTGCATCTCATCTGGTGCTGGGTCACACCAATCGTGGCCTTATTGTCTTTGTGTACACGGTGTGTTTGGCTACAGTGCTATTATGCACCCCCGGAATTTGGCTTCCCATGCAGCAGTAATAGACCATTTTATTTCTCTGGTCTATTACCTGGTCACGTGAGAAGACTCAACTTTTGAAAAATCATAACTCTTCGATACGACGTCGGATGAAGATGATTTTTATATAAAAATTGTATATCTCGATAATCAGCCTGTTCGGGAGGCCGTATCGTATCGTGGATTATTTACTGCTGGCTGGTTTGGTGTGAGAGAAAAATACTGTTCCCAGCTGGAAATTTACGATCGTTTACGAGCAAACGAACAGGCTGAATATCTACAACTTTCAGTTTTAATTTTTTTAACTTGAGGAAGTTAAGTTGCTCAAAAAATAATATAAAATTTCAGCATCATAATAGCGCTTGCCGCATTAGAAAAATAATATATTTTTTTGTATGGAGTCAAATGAAGATACTTTTTATACCAAAGTTGTATCTCTCAATGAGATCTACAACTTTGTAGTTTTGAGTTTTTTTATTTGAAGACGTTAAGAGGCTCAAAAAAATAATATAAAATTTCAGCGCCTCCCGAAAATAGAAAACCGTTTTTGAAATCAGCCGAGAACCAAATTTGTCCGGTTTTGATAGTTGGGTGTTTGTTACCCGGTTTTATAGTTGAAGGTTGAAAATCGAACTTCAGTGCAAGTTGGAGGTTAGAAAGTATACTTTACCCTAAATCTAAAGCCGGCGTTCTCATGTTTTACCCAACTCCTTACACTCAAAATAATAAAAAATGGAAATGCCGTGGGTAGGGCGTTTGTCCCGTCCGGACACCTTATTTCTGGACCTGCGGACCAGCCCAATAGACCTCCCGCGTCCGTCCCTTCCGTTGCTTCTGTTGCCCGCCCCGCCTGCCGCGCTGCTCCTACTCCAGCTCCACGCGCCCGCCCCGCTGCTCCTACTCCGGCTCCATGCGCCCGCCTCGCTCCTCCTCCTTCTGCTCCGCCGTCCGCCCCACTGCTCCTACCGCTACTCCGGCTCCGCCACCCTCCCCGCTTGACGACGCCAACAGGCGTCACCAGCACAAGGAGAGGCGTCGAGCCCTGGCGTGGAAGCCCTCTAGCCTCGCCTCCTGCTATGGCTTGGGTGCCCCGATGCCGGCGGCGGAGGAAGCCGCATCGGGATACGATGCATGTTGCAAGTGTATATTTCAAATGTTTCAAATGTTTTAAGACGTATGTTACAACAGTTTCATATAAATGTTGCAAAAGTAGATCGGGATGTTGCATATGTTGCTATGGTTGTACATGTATGATGCAAGCGTCAGTCCATGATGTTTTATCTGTTTTTTCAGACGTAAGTTACAAGTGTGTTTATCTGAATGTTGCATATGTTTCACACATATGTTGCAATTGTTTTATCTGAATATTACGTATATTTGCAATGGTTTTCAAGGGTTTTTACAAATATTTCGGATATATGTTTTAAGTATTTCATTTGTTTTTCAGATGTATATTGTAAATATTGTATGTAGATATTTCAAATGTACATCGGGTATTCCACGTAGAATATGCGTGGGACGCAGGAGGGGGTGCGAGCGGCCTCCGCGGTGCGGGCCGCGGTGGGCGTACGAAAAGCAGGCGCGAGCAGAGGCGTGCTGGCACGGGCGCAGAGGAAACGACCCCGGGCCACGGTGCCGTCGATCGAACGTCAAACGACAGCAGTTCCGAATAAAAAACTTGAATTGCACACTTGTTTCAAGAAAACCGTATTGATAACCAAGTTGTATGTCAACGGAGCGTATAAAATAATCAACGACCTTCGATCACGGCACAAAGAACACCAGAATATCAAACCTAGAGGATAAAACAAGAATACGCGCAAGATTCATGAAACGACATATATACATTTTTTTTAGGGAACATATATACAATTTTGAAGCTGTGAGTGGACAACAAAATCAAAGGCTAGCACAATCCGCCGGCTCGAAGGAGAAGGTCGCGCCGTCGAGATCGTAGAGCACGTGCAGATCCATCTGCATGACGTTGCCTATCACGGACACGCCGCTCGTCGGCAGCACCAGCAAGCACGCCACGCTCCCTCGCTCGTCGACGGCGTCGAAGTAGCTCTGCCGCGGCACTGCGTACTCCGCGCCGCCCGCAAAGCGAAACACCAGCCTCGGCACGGGCACGTCGGCGGCACCAGCCTCCTCGAAGCAGAGGTCGACGAAGTCGAACTGTGCGCCGCTCACCCTCGTCAGCAGGCCGGCCGTCTGCGACAGGAACGCCTGCCTCAGCATCGCGTACCCTCCCTCGGCTAGGTACGTGAACGTCGTGCCGGAGTCCACGATCACCCTGCCCGCGCCGGCCGCCGTGAACCCGAACGTGCTGGCGGTGACGGGGAGGTCGGTCGAGCCGACCGCGATGCCGGTGAGGTTGACGTAGTAGTACGGGGCGCGTCGTCGCGCCGCCACCGGTTCCGGACGAGCGGCGTGGACTGCACCGTGTCGCCGGTCACGTTCGCGAGCGAGCCGAACAGGATCGGGCTGGCGCCGGAGTCCGCGTCCGAGCGGAGGCAATACGAGAACCGGCCGACGCCGAGCTGCGACAGGAGGGACAGCGCGCTGCGCCCGAGCCCCACGATGCCCGACGTGCCGTCCATGTCCCCGCCGTTCGCCGTGCTGCACCCGAACGCGACCCCCGCGAACGACGACGACGCGTCCCCGATGGCTAGCATGTCCGCGGCGAGGTAGCCCGCGGTGAAGCCAACGGCGTAGCGGTAGTCGTAGACGCAGCCGGTGGCGTTGCACTCGCGGAAAGGCGCTCGGCAGGGCCTGGCACAGGGTGCTCGCGCACGGGAGCTTCGAGAACGTGGAGGAGCCCGACGGGTCGTACAGCGGCGTGGGCTGCGCGAAGCACGCGGTGCACGGCGCGCACTGCGTCCAGGTGAGGTCGCTGCCGGTGTCGATGATGGCCGGGAAGGCCAGGGGCGGCGTGCCGACGGACAGGGTCATGAGGTACGACCCCGCGCCGTTCTCCACCAGCGCCTCGAGGATGTTAGCGACCTGTATTCTCCAGTTAGCACGTCCTGTGGCTCTCCTTGAGTCTAGCTAGCTTATGTCAGTTATCTGACCGTGATATACATGTATATAGAGGCGTAAGCCCTGATCAATAGAATCTGAGTTGTCCTCGTTCTCTTTTCCATCTCTTACATGGTATCAGCCGTTCCACGATCCTGATCTTCCGCTGCCTCAACCTCTGCCTCAACCTCCCACCTCTTCCCCGGCGCCGCCATGAGCTCCTCCTCGTCCTCTTCGTCGTCGGCCTCTCACAACTCCGACGCCGAGTCGCTGCTTCCCCACACGCTCCGCGTCCAAACCGAGCCCGCTACGCCGGTAGTCGTCCACGGCATCAACATCCTAAATCGTGTGCCAATCGTCCCCAACAACTACACTGCCTCGGCGCGGTCCTTCTCCGCCATCTTTGGGCAGTACGGGCTCCGCGACCACGTCGACGGCACCGCCGCCAAGGGCGACAACGACTGGGTGCAGAATGACTGCGCCATCGTCTCGTGGTTCTACAACCGCATCTCCCCCCAGCTCCTCTCCATGGTCTCGGAGGACACCGACACCGCCTACTCCATCTGGCGCGGCGTCCGCAACCTCTTCCGCGACAACAAGGACCCCCTCACCGTCTACCTCGGCGCCGAGTTCCGCAACTTCTACCAAGGCGACCTCACCGTCCTCAACTATTGCTCCCGCATTAAGGTCATGGCCGATCGCCTTGCCGGTCTTGGTGCTCCGGTGAACGACAAAGATCTCGTCTACAACATTGTCCGCGGCCTCAACCCTCGCCTGCATCACGCTATTCCCCACATCACTCTTCGCCGCCGTCTACCGTCGTTCCTCAAAACGCGGTCCATGCTGCAGCTTGAGGAACACCGCATCAACGAGTCGGAGAAACTGCAGGCCGCGGCCCTCGTCGCTCATGCCACAAACACCGGCACGTCGTCGTCCACCGCGCCCTCCGCGACGCCCTCGGCTGCCCACCTTTCAGGCCGCGGCGGCCTTCGCCGCCCACACCACGCACGTTGTCCCCACGTCGCAAGGCCTTCCAGGGAAACCGTCGGCCACATCGTCCACCCCGGCCACGGCTCCCAATGGCGGGTGTCCATCCTCGGCTTCCTTCTCCAACAACAAGAAGCATAAGAAGAAGAAGGGCTCGGCTTCCAACCAGGCGCCGCCACACGGGTTCTGGCCCACGATGAACCCGTGGACGGGCATGGTGCAAGCTTGTTCGTTCTCAGCCTCGCCACGCGACTGCTAAGGCAAGACGCCCGGCGTCCTCACCGCGCGCCCTCCATCCACGGCTCCTCAGGCCCACATCGTCGGGCCAAGATCTTCCCGGTGGATCCGCTTTTCGCCGCCACGCTGAACAACATCTCGCTGCACCAGCCCTAGTCCGGCGGCGATTGGTTCCTCGACATCGGCGCCTCGTCTCATATGTCGCAAGGCTTCGGTAACATCTCCTCCCTCCTTCCCAATTCTTCCTCCACCCGGATCATTGTTGGTAATGGCACTTCCCTACCCATTACTCACACTAGTTCATCATACATTCCTACTTCTTCCAATCCTAGGCTCTTGACTCTTCGATGACTCGCTCGGGTTCTTATCGAAGTTAACTGGTAGCTCATCTTGGATCCGCCCGATCCAAGGTCTACTATACAGCAATGAATAGAGCACTACCTCACATCCACCGGGCAACAACACCTGCAAAACAACTTAACTGCAGCGCCGTGAGTACATTTCGTACTCGTAGGACTTAATTCCAACATATAATATTTGGTGGATGCATAGGGTAATTATCGGGCATTTGTATAAGTGCGGAAAGTAATGATGTTCATTCAGAGTATGACATGCTATGCTCAACATAGAAGTAAAGGTATGTATCATTATAGCAAAGTGCTCATAATCCATCATTCATACTACCATGGGTATAGAAAGAAAGAACAACCGAATAGTTCTGTCCCGAAGGACTCCAAGCTTTCAAGGCTCTATAGAGGTGTACAACTGTACCCACATGGAA